GGGAAATGATTGTGAAAATGCTAACACACATACACATGGTGGTGTACACTTGGTGGTGTTGGCACATTTACAAAGGATGTGGTGTTTGCAGGGGTGAGATGGGTTTGGGTCGGCGGGATTCGGCGCTTTCGGGAAAATAGAATGCCTATTTTCTATTGCGCCGGATGCAAGTTCTTGTGGTTAGCACATTGGAGCAAGGGTGATGAAGTTAGAAGTGAAAACGAGTTAGTCGCGAAGATGCTGGCGTCGGTCAACTAACCGGACGCTGAATCTGAATGCACCGGACGCTGGCAGGCTGCGTCCGGTCAGGCTGACGTACGATGACGCAGAAGCTGGAGTGTGACCGGACGCTGGCTGCGTCCGATCAAGTGTGACCGGACGCGTCCGGTCGAGGTCGGTACCTTACTGGAAACGACCGGACGCTGGGGGTTCTGCGTCCGGTCAGTTGAAAGCTGCTGCGTCCGGTCAAGTCAAGTGACCGTTGGAACCGGGACACGTGGCCATCTACGAGCGACCGGACGCTGAGGTCCAGCGTCCGGTCAACACGACCGGAGCGTCCGGTCGGCCCGACCGTTGCCCAGTGAAGGGGTAACGGCTAGTTTAGCCCTTGGGGCTATAAATAGAAGTGGCCCTCGACCATGGCTGGTGCTGAGCACCTAAGGGGACTTAGTGTCCATGCTTGTGAGTGCTTGGGAGCCCTCCATCACACATATACTTGATAGTGATCATTCGATTGTATGAGTGAGCGATTCTAGTGTGATTGCATCGTGAGGTTGCATCGAGTGGCACTAGGTGATCGAGTTGCAAGCCGGTGGTGCTTGTTACTCTTGGAGGTTGCCACCTCCTAGACGGCTTGGTGGTGGTCTCCGTCGAAGCCCGCAAGAAGCTTGTGCGGCGCTCCGGAGAAGTGCTTGTGAGGGGTACTTGTGCTCGCCCCGCGGGAGCCGCGAAGAGCAAATTTAGTAAAGCGTGTCATTGAGCTACCCTCACTCAAGGGGTAGGTTCTTGTGGTGCCCGACGTGCGGGCTTAGCGGGTGATGCTAATTAGCCGCCGAACCACCAAGTGAGCGGTCGACACAACGGGGACTAGCGTGTTGGCAAACACGTGAAATTCAGGAGAAAAATCATCGTGTCAACCTTGTTCTTCCCGTTGGTTTGCATCCCCATTACACAAGCTTGCAATTACTTTTATATATCTTAAGCTTGTGTAGTTGCTCTTGTAATTAGTTAGCTTGTGTAGCTTACTAGTTACCTTCTTGCTTGTGTAGCATAGAAGTAGCTCCCTTGCGTGGCTAATTTGGTTTTAGTAACCTTGTTAGTCACATTGCTTAGTTTGTGTAGCTAAGTATTTGCGCTCTCTAATTAGGCATTGGTTGCCTTGGTATTGAGCTTTGCTAGTGAGCTTAGTTGGTTTTGTGCTTTTGCTTACTAGCATGTGTAGGAGCTCCCTTGTTGCTTAAAGTACTAGTGGCATAGATTTGTGTGACCTTGCTCCTAGAATTGTTTAGGAGAGCTCTAGCTAGCCCGGCACCTTAGTTGTATAATTAGTATCTTGGCAAGGTGCTAGTGAGCATATATAGAGGGGTGTAGTCTTGGCTAGACCGATTGTTTTAATTCCGTATTTATATCGGTTAGCCGACGCGATTAATTTTAGAAAAGACTATTTACCCCCCTCTAGTCCGCCATCTCGACCCTTCATCAGGGTGTGGTGCGATACCACACCGCGCCATACTTGCCACATCAGAATGATGTGGTGGAGCGGCAAAACTAGACGGTGGTCGGCATGGCTTGATCCATGATGAAGGCCAAAAGCATGCCAGCAAAGTTCTGAGGTGAGGAGGTGACTACGGCAGTGTTCATACTCAACCGCGTGCCCACAAAGGCCCTAAAGGGCGTGACGCCGTTCGAAGCTTGGTATGGGCACAAGGCGAGCATGTCCTTTCTTCGGACATTTGGCTGCATCGGCCACGTCAGGAAGACGAAGCCGGTCCTCACCAAGCTAGAGGACAGGAGCACATCAATGGTGCTCCTGGGCTACGAGAAAGGTACCAAGACGTACCGGCTCTACGACCCACACAGAGGCAAGGTGGTTGTCTCGCACGATGTCGTGTTCAACGAGAAGGCGGCCTAGGACTGGGATAGTCCAGGCACAGGGGAAGCTGGTGGCTTCACCAGCACCTTCGTCGTCGAGCACTTCGTCATCCACGGTGGTGGAGACGCTGGAGAGGAGGTGTCGACCACTCCAGCAATAGAGCCGAGTACTCCTAGGGCGGTGCCGAGCACTCCAGAAGGGGTGTCGAGCACTCTAGGAGTGGTGTCAAGCGGTCCTGCAGTGGTGCCGACCACTCTAGGACAGGTGTCGAACGCTCCCGTAGCAGAGCCGAGAGGTCTTGTAGTGGTGCCGACCACTTCAAGGTTAGTGCCGAGCACTCCTGCAGTGGTGCCAACCACTCTAGGAGTGGTGATGAGCGGTCTAGTAGTGCTAAGCACTGCAACCGGGGTGCCAAGCACTCCAGGTGCTGTGCCGACCACTCCGACGGAATAGGGGACTCCATCGACGCCGATCGAGTTCACCTCACGTCCAAGCGACATCACCGAGTTCGTGGATGCCTTCCACGACGGTGAGGAGGTGCGGTTCCGCAGGCTGGACGACATCGTCGGCAGCACAGGGTCCTCAGGCCTGGCGTGTCGGCTGCTCAATGATCCAGAGCTGCTTCTCGTTAGTGCAGAGGAACCACCCACGTTCGTGCTGGCCAAGCGCGATACAAATTGGCGACAGGCGATGCTAGAGGAGATGAAGGCGATCGAGGAAAACAAGACTGGGAGCTTGTCGATCCACCTCCAGGACGACGTTCGATCGGCCTGAAGTGGGTGTACAAGGTCAAGCGCGATGAGCACGGCGCCATTACCAAGCACAAGGCGCGCCTCGTCGACCGAGGCTTTGTCCAGCGCGAGGGCATCGACTTTTAGGAAGTCTTTATGCCGGTAGCGCGCATGGAGTCTATCCGACTGCTGCTGGCTTTGGCAGCAGCGAAGGACTGGCGCATCCATCACCTGGACGTAAAATCGGCCTTCCTCAATGGTGAGCTGACGGAGACGGTCTTCGTCAGGCAACATCCGGGTTTTGCCATCAAGGGAGCGGAGCACAGGGTGCTCTGACTACGTAAGGTGCTCTACGGGCTGCGGCTGGCCCCACGAGCATGGAACGCCAAGCTTGACGCCATGTTGGGCGAGCTTGGGTTCATGCAGTGTGCAACCGAACACGCGCTCCACACACGACGACGGGAGAAGGAGGAGCTCGTCGTCGGCGTGTATGTGGATGACTTGATCGTCACCGGTGCGCGTGCGGAGGACATCGACAGCTTCAAGCGCGAGATGGCGGCTCGTTTTCGAATGAGCGATCGCGGCGCGCTCTCCTACTACCTCGGCATCGAGGTGAGATAGGGGAAGGAGGTGCTCATGCTCGGTCAGGGCGTGTACGCCTCGAAGCTGTTGGAGCGGAGCGGCATGGCTGAGTGCAAGCTGTGCATGACTCCGATAGAGGAGCGACTGAAGCTGACGAAGGCCAGTAACGTGGCGAGGGTAGATGCAACACTCTACCGGAACATCGTCGGCTGTCTACGCTACCTAGTCCACACAAGGCCGGACATTATGTTCGTTGTAGGCTACGTCAGCCGCTTCATGGAGGATCCCTGAGAGGATCACTGGGCCACGGTGAAGCGGCTGCTGCGCTACGTCATGGGGACGGTGATCAGGTGATTGTCTTTCCCAAGACCGGCGGAAGTGGGCTGCAACTCACTATGTTCAGCGATGCAGACATGGCGGGGGACATCGACGGACGGCGGAGCACCTCTGGCGTGCTCGTCTTCCTCGGGTCGACTCCAATCTCATGGCTGCCGCTGAAATAGAAGGTGATGGGGCTGTTCACATGCGAGGCAGAGTACGTGGCGGTGGCCACAGCGGCGTGCCAAGCTGTGTGGCTGTGCCGACTACTGGGCGAGCTGACCGGTGTGGAAGCTCACCCACCAGCACTGATGGTGGACAACCAGCCCGCCATCGCCCTCGTGAAGAATCCGGTTCTCCACGATCGGAGCAAGCACATCGACGTCAAGTTCCACTTCCTCAGGGACTGTGTCGATGGAGGGCAGATCGTCATTGAGTTCGTCGAAACTGGTCGGCAACTCGCGGACGTCCTCACCAAGCCGCTCGGCCGTCTTCGGTTCACGGAGCTGAAGAAGATGATCGGCATGGTGGAGGTTCTAGGGTTAGCAGCAGGATTGGAGGAAGAATAGTAAAGTAATCTGCTGCTCTCCCTCTGTACGCGCGGCAGGGGCAGGCACCGAAAGGACTCCTCTGCTGCTGCACTGTAGCCGCGGCAGGGGCAGGTGTCGAAAGGCTCCCCTGTCGTACTGTAGCCACAGCAGGGGTAGACGTCAAAGTCAGCCCTGCTTCACATATAGTCACTGTAGCAGCATGGCATGTCTGTGTACTATGATTAGATGGACAGAGTTGTATATATAGCTTCCGACTGCAACTCAGTAAAGAGAGAGAGTTCAGTTTTGTCATCTCCTCTGCAGAGCTCCGACCAACGCTGATGCTTGTGCTGTGTGTGCACGCTCTGTTCTCCCTCCCTCTTCTACCTCCGACCGTAGTGTATGCGAGAACGCCGGTGAGCGGTCGGCTCACCTATGCTTGAGATCCGGGCCCAACAATGATAAGAAAACGTGCATCAAACATAGGAACCAGACGGTCGATGATCCTGGATCTCAAGCTGAACATGGCATGGCATTAATTCACAAGAGCTGGGAGCAGAAAGCTTTGAAGAAAGAGAGTTACAGCAATGGTGGCGGCAACTAGCCATATCTATCCACCGATCACAATTCACAACACGGTCGAACGGCCGGCGTCGCGGAGAGAGGCAGGCACCCTTACACTTCATCAAGAAGTGTAGTAGGAGCTAGTACTAGCTAGGATCAGGAGAGACTGAGAGAGTAGCAGGACTAGGGATGGAAGCGCTGCATGCAGGCGTGGCAAGTGATCTCCAGCGCCGCGGCGGACGACGCGGCCGAGCCGACGAGCCGCCTCGCCGCGATCTGCTTCATGCGCTCCACCCGCTCCACCTCCTCGCGGGCGCGCTCCCAGATGGCCCTGGCGCGCGCGAACTCCCGCTCCGCGAGCTCCAACTCCCGCCGCGCAAGCTCCCGGACGCGCTCCGCGTAGGCGCGCTCGGCGGACGCCATGCGGGCCTGGTCCGCAGCCTGCTGCTTCACGGCGCGCACGCCGGCGGCCGCATGCTGCTGCTGGTGCTTCTGATGCAGTCTCGCGCTGGACGGCGCCAACACCGTGGTCATCATCATCCCCGGCGCCCTCCTGTTCTCGTTCGTCGGTGGGGGCTGCGCGCACGGAGGCGGCGGCGGCGCCGGTGTTGGGGCCGCCGGATGCCTCGGCCCGATGCTCATGGACAGATCGAGGTCCAGCTGCGGGTGCTCGACGGCGCTGGCTGGCACCGCCACCGGCAGGTCACGGAGGACCTGATGAGCTGCAGGCGCAGGGAGGAGCAGAAGCTGAAGCTGGATCTGTCTCTCACCTTGCTCCTCCATGGAAGAAACCAAGAGGGGGCCGGGATCGAAGTGGCCACGAGGTATTTCTTGCTTGCTGGCCTCCTACTCCAGCTTGCTAGGTAGGTCTGGTGTGTTTGTTTGCATTATATTGTAATATTGCTGCGTGTAGTATGGTTGTCTATATGTATCTTCTCCTCGAGAGAGGGAGCACTAGCTTGTGAGCACATAGATGTGATTTTACCGGGATGCCCCTGTTATTATTAGTACCAGCTAGCTAGCTAGAGAGCTAGTTAGGGATATCCATGGTTTAGGCAGCTGCTGATTTGCATTGTGTGGTCCAGAGCAAAGGCTTGGACAAATAACCTTGTGGATTAGAGATTTCGGTACTTTGTATACCGGTCGTCAAAGTTGAGAGGTTTATCGTTTATATGTATTATATACATATGCTACGCGTTAGCATCTTAGCGATAATAGGTTTTGATGTAACTTGTAAGCTATGGCTAGCGATCAAAGTTCGGGCTTGCCAGTGCCCGGACGTCCGGACGTTCGTGCCTGCAGTCTGTTTCCCACACCATTTCACACGTCCATACGGGGTTTGCGCCGTCCCGAACATCACCAGCATCCAGAAGAGGGGAAGGGGGCGACGCATGCCCAACCAGCGCTAGAAGGAGGAGGAGACGCCGAGGCGAGACCGTAGAAAGCGAGGACGGAGATGCAACACCCGATCTACTTTTACTTTGAAATATTCATATGCAACACCTGCAACATACGACTGAAGGCAGATGAAACACTTGAAACATGCATCTGAAACACTTGTAAAAACACCTGAAAAACAATTGAAAACAATTGTAAAACGAACGCAATATCCAGATAAAACACTTGCAACATATGTGTGAAACATATGCAACATCTAAATAAACACACTTGCAACATATGTCTGAAAAACAGATGGAACATGGAGAACAAAAGTTCGCAACATACGAGCACAACCATTGCAACATATGCAACATCACGATCTACTTTTACAACATCTGTATGAAACACTTGCAACATACCTAAGAAACATCTTAAACACTTGAAACATACGCTTGCAACATGTGTTTTTCATCCTATCGTTCTTCTTCCGGACGACGCAGAGCAGAGCGGGGAACGGCCGGTTCAGCCAGCTGGCGCCCAAGGATCGTGGCACGACCTGGCAGCAGCCAGCTACGCCTGAGCCTGGCTTGGGCCCGGCCAGTGACAACCCCCTCTTTTAGCCGCCTGTCCACACACGGTGGCCGGAAGGAGTTGTCGATCTCGGCGAGGTCGGAGAGGATGCTCGCAAGGAGTGACGGGGATGGTGGTGCGGCGGTAGGGTGCGGGGACGGGGAGCGGCGCGCGGCGGCGGCCCGTCGAGGTGGGAGGTGGGGAGTCGGTGTTTGCCAGGTTGAGGAGCGGGTGCAGGAAGCAGCACATGTGCTCTCGTACGAGCAGGTAGCCGTTGTGTGTTTCCCGTCGGCCCCGTTCGCTTCTTTTATAATCCGTCTTTTTCAGCTTGTTTTTCAACCGGAACAGTGTTTTTCTCTCATAATAAATCAGTCGGAATAGTGTTTCGGTTTGTTTTTTCAGCGAAGCGAACGGGGCCTAAAGGAAGGAGAAGAGGAGCTGATGTTCGGGCCCACGTGTAAGAGAGAGGGAGAGAATAAGTGGAGTGGCTGGTTGGGCTGCTGGCCATTTGGCCCAGGCAGTGGGAGCGAGCGCGGAGCGGTCCGTCTGGACGAACGACCGCTTCGTAGCATTACCGATCAAAATTTGAAGCCTTCGTCGTTGTTTTCAGATCTGAAGGGAAAAGACGAAGTACACACACAAAACGAAATTTGGTGCCTGCATGATGCTTTGCTAAAAGCATGTTATTACAAACTCACATTTCCTATTGTGTGACTTATGACTTTCTGCTGGTAGCCAAGATCATGCTAATTAATTATGGATTAAGCACTTGCCAAAATTCATTTTTTTAAACCCAATATATACACAGGTGCTCACATACACGCACGTAGGCACACCATATCTTTATTAGCACCTCCGAAGAATTGAGCTAGACTAACAAATCTCGAGATTGACAAAATCACCATATACATCTCGCTGTTAACGCATTACCACTAAAAGAATAGCGCCATCAAATCCTAGAATAAATTTATAAAATATTAGCACTTGCGTCAAGTCAAGGATTTAAACTCAGGTGAGCAAAGTCTACCACAAGGTACCTAACCAACGCAAGCTTGCTTGTGGTGGCATTTAATTTTTATTTTAGGAGTTGTTTCTCGGCTACCTTGGTTTTGCATCGAACCATTTGTAATCGACTGAATCTCATAAACTTGTCCTGGATTCTTACATTATATATGGACGTCCAAAAACTCTCAAATTACATATTTATTCACAACTTAAACTTGTTATGGGTGTCCTGATATATCCAAACTGTTATGATCAGCCGTACTACATGCATGCCTATATGTGGTATGCCACTGATCTTGTGGCTTCATGACCAGGTTTAATGTTTCCTTTATTTTTGAAAATAGAATTCGGTTGATAGAATAATACAGATAACTATGGATAGGTTATAAATATCCAAAAGCCTAAAAAAATTCTAGAGATGTGTTAAGATGAAAGGAGCTGAAATAAAGTATCCAAGCTCAATAGTAAACATGTATTATAAGATTCAAGCAGTAGCAAACCCTAGCGCTCGAATAGAGTCTGGACAAAGCTCAAGGCACTGACGAGATCATGTGTTTTTAAGCTTGTAGCAGGGCGCGATATGATGAAAACCTTAGTGTGCGTCAGTACCAAAGCCTAGGTGGGCATCCCGGGTCACTGAGCTCCATGTCCACGCTACTGTTTCAAACAGACCCACAATATAAGTAGGAAAAAATGGAAGCTCCAAATATACAAGAATAAACTATAATAATAATAAAAATTTAGGAATATTGTATTTTGTCTGTGGCTAATGGTAAATGGAGTGGTATTGTTGATTGAAGTAAGATCCAATTTGGCACGGCTCTGGCTCCTTGCTACATTGCGTGGAGGAGTTGAAGCCTGTGGAACCAAATAAAAATAGTGGTTTCATCGACTCTTAGTTTATGTTGAGAGGAGAGCGATAACACAGCTCCTTGCTATAGTAAATGGAGAAGCCGGAGCCAGAGCTCTATGACAATGGAACTAATACGTGGCTACAAGGGGCTAACTAAAGAAAAGAAGCATTTATTAAGGGTTAAAACTCCTGTCCAATGCAAGCCATGCAAGAGTGGCACACTGCAATGTATTCGACCTACCTAAAAACTCAGAGCAAGCTTAATGTCTTGGTAATGCAATTTGAGAGTTTGTGACCCCCTTCCTCACACCCAAAATGACAAGCCAAAACAAATTTAGGGATCACTAGTTTCTTAGCAAAATGTGCTAGAATTTTTTTATTTCTTTTTATTTTTATTTTAAAAACTAGGGTCTTTGTTTCTTATGTGTCTTTTTTTTATTTTTTTTAAAAAAACTAGGGTCTTTTTAAAAAAACTAGCGTTCTCCCGTAGTGATTAGCTGAGGGAGGGATCTGCCGACCAAATCCCCAATGGGGCACAGGGGGAGCTCAAGATGTTGTTTCATGGCCGCTTTTGTTCCACATGCTGCATGTCTAGCTTTACGGGTTGGCAATGGCGCAATAATGCATTGCATGCATGCACATGTTCTCCCCCGCGCGCGGCGCAAGCGAGCGAGCCTGGGAGAAGTTTCATGCATGCCTGCTTGGGTGCATGCTGAGCGAGAGCTTTATTGGTAGCTAGGCCTAGCTAGGTTGTCCGTCCTGTAAAAAAGATAGAAACCACGCACAAAGGTAAGCCGGGTTCGAAAAGTGACGAGGGAGAGAGAGATGAAATGCACACTACTATTCGGCTACATGCAATGGACCTTCTTCTTTGGAGCTTGCCTCGTTGCCTTTGCTCTTTTGCAGCTTCGATCTACTGCTTTGCGTATTGGGATCATTCACTAATTGATGTGCGAGTGGTGTTCTTGTTTGTCTCTATGCTTGTTACCGATGGATCTGCTGGCCGTGGCTCTAGTTAATCTCTGCTGCTAACTTCATGCAGAACAGAATTAATGAACAGCAGCAGCAAACAGTAGACAATGATCTGCTGCTAACTTTTTGGAATGTATATATGGAAAAGATAAAAAAAGCTACTACTATGTATATATATTTAGCTAGCGTATGTATATATAAATATAAAAACTTCTCTGCTGGTTGCCCAAAGTGGTAGAGACTGCATTGCCCCCAGCTGTTAACTCACCACTCTTGCATTGCATCAATCAAGGTGATCGATCGACGACACTAGTAAAAAATCAACAAGCCCTGCGGCAGGGGCCATAAAAAGATGCATGATTCTATTTTCCCTGGGGATCTCTGCTGCATGCTACACCGGCCGTGTGTGTGCTATTGCTACCTGCATCTGCAGGGTGGGGTTGCGTTCTCCTAGAGAACACACCTTAGTGGCGAGAAAAAGATGGAGGGTGAGGTGACCCCAAATCAGTCACTGGCTAACGGCCCGACTGGCTGCTGGCGCCAGAGCCAGACACCTGCATGAAATCATCGCATGGCGTCTGCATGGGGTAAAGCAGCTGCCTCTTTTTGCCCGGGCGATGACATCACCATGTGTAGGCCTTGTCTGCCATGGGATTTTGGGAGGGATCCTGGACCCTTGTGGTGTTAGCAACCTTACAAACCTCAGCTCAGCTGATTTTGGTGAGACCCTCATGTTAATTAGCTAGCTAGGGATCATGAATCTAGTTAAACCTTTTTGCAGAAGTACGGTTTGTCAATTCCGATTCATGCACATATATGGTTCTCAGACATGTGTGGATGATGAGTGCGAGTGTGGGACCATAATTTAGTTATCTTGCTGATGAAATTGAGAGAAATTAAATGAAACTGATCTATTGTTCGAAATAGATTACAAAACAACTCTGTTTGAACTACCAAACAGTGAACTGAAATAGAGTACATATATACTTTTTTTTGTTATAATACAAGACCTTATGGGCTATATATATCTTTATAGGGGGTCTGAGGTCCTGCCAAGATCTTACTGAGCAAATAAAGTGATGTCGTTGGTTATCAGATTACAGAGAATATAGGTCCGAGGTCCTGTCAAGATCTTACTGAGCAAATAAAGTGATGTCGTTGGTTATCAGATTACAGAGAATATAGCATGCCAAATCCCACTTTTGGGTGCACGCAGTAGCTTTTGGTGGAGAGCATGGTAAAAAGAAGGCAGGGCATGCAGGGTAAAAATTAAAAGGGAAAAAGACTGCACAAGATCCAACAAGTACATCCGAGTGCGTGGGTTTTGCTTTATGTGGGGGAAAAGCTGGGATCAAAGGGGACATGGAGCATGTCAGGCCACCATGAATATATGTATACATGCATGCATGTAAGCTCTACCAAGGTCAGCTTTTTTTTGGTTTTGGGGGGCCCTTGTGCTCTCCACTAACTTCATTCTAGCCTGCTACTACTGCTAGTCTGCTAGTCTCTGCTACTGCAATATAATGCTGCACCAATATATGCCACTGCTACTGATCTTACCATATGCTAAGCAATGTCACTGCTACTCGTGAGCTGGTTATATATTCTGGTATATATGAGAACTTGAGGCAAAGAGCCTCTCCTTTTGGACAATGATTTATGCATCATGGTCCTTCAACGTTGCCCAGCAGCAGCTAGACCACACCCTGTGAAAGAGAAAGGAGAGCCTTTGGCCATTAGCGGCATATAGCATGAACCAGAGACTCCGATCTACATGACAAGGGTTTTTGCCCATTTCCATCTTGGACTGTTCTTTCACTTTCCTATGCCTAGCTCTCTCTATCCCTTGCTTTTGCACTTTCAAGGAAACCACTGCTCCAAAGTCACTACTTTGGGCACATCACAAGACTGCACAGTACAAGTTCCTGTGTGAGTTCATGTAGGGTGTGGTGTGTTGTCAACATTTGCAGGCTTCACAGTTGCTCATTTCATTGGAAAAGGAAGAGAGACGCTGACCTTACACTGTCTCAAGTTAGCTTTATATATATTTTAACCTGAGTGAGGGCCAGAATGCTGGTCATAGGGAATGTGCAATATGTCACGTTCAAGCGTTGGGCAGCCAGCTCTTATATCCTAAAGCCTGATTTGAGAAAAGAATTTAATATAATACATTATCACGATGAAGGTAGTACGTATTACACCACATAGTACCTAATTACAAACCAAGGTTGACACAACAAACAGAGGTAACAGTGAAAAATATCACTACTACATAATAAACAACCTTTAGTGCCTCTACCTTTTTCCCCAACAACGGTTTGATCAAAACAACTCTCTTGGCTGGGCGAGGCGAGGCAAGGCCAACCTCGCTCACAACCAAGCACGCCCTTAGTTCATCCATTTCAATATCAATAGTTCGGTACTTGGATGTTATTAACTTGTACGGTCAATTACCTTCTCGTGGATAGTTAGTGGTCTAGGTTAGAATTTGTAATTTTCAAGGACAGCCCTGCGGGCAACGAGGAGCAAGAGGGGAATTGAAGTACATGAATAGGCTCCAAAGCCATGCCTGGATAGGCTACAGTGTGGACCATGCCATGCATTATAGTTGTACTATGCAAAGATCAGATGCAGTGTCTGTCGTACCAGTTGAACTTTCAAGTGAACTGCTCGCTACCGGAACCGGCTATTTGCGAGTGTCTCGGTGTTTACTGAGAGTATTTCCTCGGACACGACAAATAAGTTTTTTGTCGAGTGCTGTGAAAAAAACACTCAACAAAGTTTGACACTTGGTAAACTAGAAAAAAAAACACTCGGCTAAAACTAGGCACTCGGCAAAGAAATATGTTTGCCGAGTATAATTGTCTGGCACTCGGCAAAGAAGTATGTTTGCCGAGTGTAACTATTTGGCACTCGGCAAATAAATTTTTTTCTCATCTGACATTGAAACTTTTTCGACTCTCAACATACAACATGTGGTATTCCATGTTAAAATTTAGTATATTTGTAGATCTGTTTGCTATATTTAATTAATTTATTGTATTTCTAGGAATTTTTTTCGTATAAGTCAAATTTGAACTGTAAGTGATTCAAATATTAGAATAAAATGAGTAGAAAAATGATATTCATGTTATTGAGTCCAGTGTGAGGCGTCATGCGGGAAATGAAAAGAAATTTCGAACATCTTGTTCAGGAAACACGACCATGAACGTGTGGTCAAATGGTTTTTAAATTCTAAAAAAAACAAACGAAGTGTGAAAAATATGAGATTTGTCATGATGTGATGATATCATACGTGGAGGCTGTGGTAAAAAATTGAGAAGGTTTCGCACAATTTGTCACGTACGATGTTTACAAACCGAAGCATCACAAAAGAAGAATCGTAGTGTTGAGAAGGAATTGGTAAGATTTGAAGTCAAAGTGACGGTGGAATTGAGGTTTGACTTCAAAACTTTTTGTATAGGCAATAGAGAACATAGATTGTTTCATGTGAAATTTTGATAATTTTTTGGATCCGTTTGATAATTTTAATTTATTAAGTGCAATTATAGAATTTTAATTGATATAAATTAAATTTGAGCTGTAACTGCATAAAATAATGGAATCATATTAGTAGAAAAATCATATATATATTGTTGAGTCAATTTGACATGGTATTTTCAAAGTACATCGAACAAAAAAGGAAAAACACGTTATGAAAAACAAGGAAATAAAAAAATAAATAATATATTTGCCGAGTGCCCGAAACCCTAGACACTCGGCAAAGATTAGTTTGCCGAGTGTCCTCGATCCAACACTCAGCAAAGCCAGGCACGTTATAAAAAGCACCCGGCCACGGCCCCCTCCCTCCCACCCTCCTCTCCCTCTCCCGGTGCCGCCGCCCCCTCCCCTCCCTCCCCTCCCTCTCCCGGCGCCGCCACGGCGGGCAGTGCGGCTCTCTCCGGCGGGCGGTGCAGCTCTCTCTCTCGCGCGTCGGAGGCCGGATCCCAGCGGGAGAGGGCGGATCCCGGTGGCCGAAGGTAGGATCCGGTGGGAAAGGGCGGACGTTCTGTTCACAGTAAGCGCTTACTGTGAACAGAACATATATCATATATATCATTATACCTCATACAATTCTGTTTTCAGCAACATATATAAAATCCCTCTATTTGCTCACAACTTGGCAAAAACATTGGGTTTTTTAGCAACCTGCATGATTCAATTAATCAAACGAGCCAGCAAGGTCGCTCGGCACGATATATATACAAAATACAGTTTAGCTCCGGCCATTGCAAATGTAAAATAAAATCATCATGGAAAGAACTTCCTAGAGCTGCCAACTCGTGCTACAGCTACAGGATTACCACATCTTGGGACAACCACTAATCCCACTGTAAAACTTTCAAGTCATCGCCTCCTTCAGTTCATGGATCAGCAACGCCCTTTCCGATTGTACAGCATCCTTCTCTAAAATAATACGGAGCACATATGTTTTCCCCGTCTCTAATATGCATCTTGAACCATTTTTTTATGTTTGGTTCTGTCATAAAGCATGCTGCTTCAAACTCAACCATTGCTTCGACCCATTTCGGTTATTTACGGTGAATGTCCATCTGTATTAGCCTTGTTTATTTTTCGCGACCGTACGTATTTCATTAAAAAGAAGTAGAGAAACATTACAAGCTACCCAGTCAATGGTCGCTGCCACTTCTGTTTCGGTTGCGCCTACCCAAAAGTCCAGATGCCACTTCTGTACAAGTCTTCTATTTCTGCAGCTTACCTACATGTTATATGTGCAATTTCAGACTGGTTCCTTCCTTCGCCTATCAGCTTCTATGATCTTGTTTCGTTCATGCCACCAAAGTCTCAGAAGGAAAGAAGTCTTGAGCTGTCTAGCATCGAACAATGAAGTAGTTATAGATAGATTCTTTTTTCGATTCAAAGGTTTATTTAAAGATTTGATTTGATTTGATCGAAACAGAGATACGAGAACTCAAGAAGGCCATATCAATTCAATTCAAGATGCCAGGCCAGAAGCCATTATGGGCTGACTGGGCTTTCTCTAGGGCCCCCTAGCCCACTAAAGCCATGGAGGAGGAGAAAAAAGACGCCTAAACACCGCGGAAAGAATAGGAAAAAGAACAGGGAAATTAACGGCTCGTCCACGAAAACCAAGTCCAGTCCAGCAGACGGACGCGAACCGAGAAAAATCTCACGAAATCTCTCGTGGCCGCGGCGACCGGAAGAAGACGACGGACGCGGCGGCGATGGCGTGCCGCGCACTGGCCCTCCGCTCCCTGCTCCTCCCCGAACCGCTCCACCGCCTCCCGGCCGCGGCGCCGCCTGTTGGGAGGGCGCTCCGCGGCGGACGCCGTCCGCACCTCCGCTGCTGCTCCGGAGGCGGCGGGGACCCCGGGCAGCCGCCGCAAGAAGCTGTGCTGGAGGCCATATCCAGTGAGTCGTCATCCCCCACTCCCCCACTGCTTATTAGTACGAGTTATTCCATCTTGCTTGTTCGCCGCTTCAGCTAGTCGCTTCGGTCGGATTCTTGCTCGGAGGTTTGGTAATGAATGATATAATAGTTTTAGACATCGGGATACCGAATCACTGGATTATTGCGATGGTTGGATTCGGGGTTACCTTCGGCTAGGTAATATTAACCGTTTGTTTTTTTATGGAATTAGCGTACAATGCGATGCTTCCGTGGCTTGGTGTGATTTAGCCAAAAGGCAGTTTCGGCTACAGTACTTTAGTTTCGCATGGTTTGTTTACTTTGCATATATTATTCTGTAATAGACTAATAGGGTAATCAGGATAAGCCTCAGCATAGAACTGCTCAATAGGCAATAGCATAGATGAATTGGAGTATTGATCAATGCAAGGCCCTGCATGTTTCAGCATGTAAATTGTGAAAAGCAACTTGCAAATTGTAACAATCTACAAGCTTGTGGAACAGATTGTTGGATTGTAACAATCTGGCCTGTGGATTGTTACAATCCAGGTGAGCTGCTTGTTTGTTTCAACTTGAGATAGTAAAAGCTACAACCCACAATCAGAATATAAAACAAACAGCACCTAAGGATGTAAAGTTACATATCTGCTTTGCAGGACTATGTTTTGTTAGTGCCTACTTTGCCAAATTCGTGAAATTTGTGTTCATGTATGCAAGGATTCATGTTTTCACTGAGCCAAAACTTCTGCTAGGGTTTATTCCATGCTCAATTCATACTGTTTTTTTTTTTTTTTTTTTGAAACCAGAGATAGCAAGGTCTAAAGGAAGGTTGCACTCACAACAAATATGGTCATGGGTGGTACTGTGACGGACGATGCAAGTGATGAATGGCTTGTTCTGGATCAGAAGGTGTATCTCATTGTCCAGCTTTGTCCATCTGTGTTACAACTTACATAAAGATAGACTTACAATGGGCACTCTACGAAATAGCTGACTCCTAAATTTTGAGAAATGCGATGAGAACCCTTTATATATTTGAAAAGCTCTTGTTTTACCAATATTCCTTCTGGAAGCAGTAGCTTGGTAACATTAAGGTATGATTTATCATGTGTTCTGTTTTCGGAAATGGTAGGTCGTGGGAAGCTATAGGTCACATCACTTTTAACTTTGTGACACTCATTTGTGGTATTCTTTGTATGTTCTGAATACGATATTTTACACCATGTCACCATCAATGGTCTTCAACCTTTTACGGGGAACACAATAGTGATTGAGAACATCTCATGCTCTTTCATTTTTGGCATGCTTTTATCATGATTAGTACTGCTGCGTGATAAACTTTAATCAGTTTGTGTGCAACAAAGTGCATCTCTGCTGTATCCTTTTTGAATTAAAAGTTAGAATGAACCCTAAAATTGTAAAGTCTATATTTTGTTTTAGGCATTGCTTAAAGCTATGCTGTTTTGCTTGACAGGTAAATTCCTACCCCACAGATAGAGGATTTACAGCAATTGGCACTGGAGGTGATGATTTTGTCCAGTCAATGGTAGTTTCTGTTGAATCTGTTCTTCAAGAATCAATTCCCAAGGTTAGTTTTTACAGTTCTTAGAATTTGTTTGTAAACCTTGTAGTTATCGACAGGAAGATGTAGTTAGACTGCTAGTGCTTTGCGTAGAGCCAATACTTCCGTGAAATGGTTTCCACACTAATAAGTTCAATATTCTTACTCTGATTGTACACTAATCATTTTCACTTTAATTATTTGTTTTTTATGCTTCTTAGATGGCAGTAGACTAATACTTCCGTGAAACTTTTTCCTATGTGAAGATGAAAGAAAAAGCTATGCCAGGAGACATATTCCAATTTTAGATTGTAGTTGTCTCTGTTAGAAAGGCAATATCATGGCCATTACTGACCCTCCTATCTCGGTCATTATTGGACCTAATAGCAGATCATATCTGAATCTACATTTGTAGCATTGTATTGATTAGGCTAGATTAGAGGACATCATAGGATTTTAATTCTTTCCTTGCATGTACACTCATGGCTGTATATGTGCAGCCTGCAGCAATAGAGAAAATCATTCCCCTATATGCTATATTCTTTCAGTCTCATTTTACAATCATTCCGTTGATCTGTTTCTCTGATGCTATTCATATAATCATATGTATCTTGAAATGGTTTGCACAGGGCGGGTATCTCAGAAATTATCTTCAAGAGGAAAATATGTTTCTGTAAACATTGGGCCAATTCGTGTTGTTTCTAGTGAGCAGGTGATATAAAGTTCCCCTTTATTCAAATGTCCCAGGAAAAAGATGCCTCTTTTCTGAGTTTGTTTTTTTCTGTTCATTTTATTTTATATATACATAAAGTTTACCCTTTTGTTGAAGTTTTGCCTGCTGCTTTTCAGGTCCAAGCTGTGTATCGTGCCATGAGAAGAGATAACAGGATGAAATACTTCTTATGAAGTGCAATTGCATGTCCTGCATATTCCCTAGTCCATTCCATCTTGTAACATAAGGAGTCCTAGAATGCATTTTCGCCATATTTGTAAGTACCAAATCAACAAATGGAAACATTGTGTAGATTGCCTGATTTCTAGTTGGCCCCTTGTGATGTCAAAGTTCCCCTGATTGTAGGGAATGCAGGCTGGACCTCTGGTGAATTCCAAAAGGAAATGGGAAGACTTTTTGTGCCATTCAAGCCCAAACTGTTGAAGGTTCTTAAATAATCTGCTACAAAACAATTTATTGGATTCAATTACGTTATGTAGTGCAGCGGGCTGCGGGCGTATATAGCTACTATGTATGTTAAAGATGTATTTTAGTGTTTCATATTAGATGTGTTTTACTATTTTATAAACAGTATGAATAGCAGTATAAGTGTTCCTAAATTATCGATGTGTGTCTTCAAGCCTATAAAAACTATAAGACGACGAGTCATGCTGCCATTGCCTGCCTTTTCTTTTTGTTTTGAGAGGATACAACTTGGATGCTAACAATCTCCTGGCTAAAATCAACATTAACATATATAAGCGATTGGTCATGCTAGCATTCAATTTTTTTTTATCAAGTAGATGTACACAATCCACACACCACGCATGCGCATTGGGGTGTATCCTGAAATTTCTAGAAAAGATCCATAAAAAGTTGCAACACTAGGGTTTGAACCTTGATGGGTAACATTCCACTGGACGGCTCTACCAATGGACCACAAGCCTATTTGCATTGCTTGCCTTTTCAACGCAATTACTCCCCTAAAAACCGGCTAAAAGGTACCTTATGGAGGTATTTCTCCCTGAAACTAAAGCATACACTACATGTACAACAATGCTCATTTTTTTTATGATTATAAATTAGTACCTCTATCCAGAAAAAGGATGCAGTTCTAGTTCTATGGTTTACTAGAAAAGAGTATCAATATTTAAGACACCAATTAGGTATACTATAAAAATATTATTTAGTATCATAGATATTGATATTTCTTTATATAAGATTGATTGAATTCAAGATGATTTGGCGAATCTAATGACACTGCATTCTTTTAAGTGTTCACCATATAGAAAGAAAGGAGATCAGCTGCCAAACCGATTGACGTATACTACGGTGAATTGTCAAAGCATTGTTGCAAACAGAACGTGACCACCGGTTAGATTGTATTAGAAAAAAGCCATGCCAGGAGATAAGTTCTAACGTTAGATTGTACTCCCTCCATTCTAAATTTCCAAATTGTAATTTTTACATGATTTTTATTACCCACTTAGATATAACATCTTTATAACTACTATGTATTAGAAAAGCAAGAACATCTTACAAATTAGAACAGAGGGAATGGTGGAGAACTGGAAGCGCATAAGGGAATGGTTTCAGCAATTGCCCGTTGTATATGTTAAAGCGTGAATGTAAATGAACAAGATTTGGGAGAACTGTTGTTTTCATTGATCTCGGAAATATATTTATACAAGTGGAGGGGGTCACGAAGGGACACGACTGTTCCCAAAAGATATGCCCTTTGGAACTAAAATTAACCGTCTAATCCTATCCACTAATCCTGTGCTTGATGGATGAGATTACTCGTGAAGAGACGCCTGTTCGTCTGTAGACGTCCGTTCGCGTATAGGTGTCGTTTCACAACACTCCCCCTTGATCGAATCTTTCTTGAGATCAATGCAGTTGTAAGCTGAAATTCCTCGAAAAACCTTATGGGAAAAATCTGATGGATATATGATATGCCATAAAAACTCTTTTAAACCTGATTGGAAAATAAGGAGAAAATAACATATTTATTTGTGATTTAAATAAACCACTATGTCATTGGTATCCCATTAAAACCTCAATGGAAAAAAATATTGGAGATACGACATAAAGATAACTCTCCCAAAAACCTTTCAGGAAAAATATGAGGAGCAATATAAAGTGATATGCCGCTAAAACTCCTGTAAAAATCCAGTGGAAAAAATAGGAGAAAATGTGACGACATATTATTGGTATTGTCTCTTGGATAACTCACATGAAAAACCTTTTCAGGGAAAAACCATGAATGAGTTGTGAGGGCAATACGTGTCTTTGATATTTCCCACAAAAACCCTGATGGGAAAAATAGAAAATATGACACATGCTTATGTTAATATTACCCCATTAAAAAAACTTTAACAAGAAACCTTATGAGTAAAACTTGTGAAAGAAAAGAGTATAATATAATACTGGTACAGGTCAGCATCTAGGAGATGTCTCCCCCTGATTCTTGCAAATTTCAAAGTCGTCGCATACCAATCTTATGTAGAAAATTTTTGAAACATAGAAGTTGGTAAGGACTTAGTAAATAATTCAGCGAGATTATCGCATGCGGTGATTTGCAAGATGTTTATTTCCCCGCTTTCTTGTAACTTATGGGGATAAAACAGCTTAGGAGCAATGTCCTTAGCGACATTACTCTTTATGTAACCCGCTTGCATCTATATAACATAAGTTTAAATTATTTTCATAGATAATTGTAGGTGATTTAATCGAAACAATACCACATGCCTGTTGTATGTGGTTAATCATTCTGTGAAGTCATACACATTCATGTGATGCCTCGTATAGAGCAATAATTTTAGAATGATTAGTAGAGGTCGTCGTCAGAGTCTGTTTAGAAGACTTTATGAAATAACTATACCTCCATGTAAGAATATAAATCTAGTTTGGGATAGGGACCAGATAAGTAACCAGCATCCGTGTATCCAATCATATTGAGATCATGATTTCTCTTAAAGAATAAATCAAGATCCTTTGTGCCACTAAGATATCTGAGGATATGTTTCGCTCCCGTCTAATGACGGTGAGTTGGATTTGCACTATGTCTAACTAGTATGTTCACTGCAAATGCGATATCAGGCCTGGTGCAATTTGCAAGATACATAAGTGCTCCATTGACACTAAGATATGGAACTTTGATCCCAATATCTTTTCTCTAATATTTTCTGGATATAGGCTGATTGATGCACTAAAATCCCTGAAGGACGGTGCTTAAGTTGTAAGCCTAGACAATATTTGGTCTTACCCAAATTCTCCATCTCGAATCCACATGATGAAAATTGTATCTCAAATGATTGTATAATTATTTCTATATCATGATGATATCAAAATAACCAATATACGCAATCATGCTAAATTATACACAATGTATGTTGCGATTTGCATTTTGGATTCAGAATGTGAAGTCCATTGGGACTTATACATCCGAATCTATCAAATTCATTTGATATGCCAATTATTGAATTTGGAAAACTTTATTTTCATACATACCATAGGGTATGCTATGCTGGGTCTCTACGTGAAACCATATGCTACAAGCTCTCATTGTTCACCACCTTGCTTCTGAAAAGAAACTCTGTGAGGGAAGATATTACTGTGGTAATACTTCTCATCATTGAACAAGAGCAATCTCCTTAATTGCCACCTTTTAGTTTGGCCAAATTTGAGTGTGAAGACACTATGTCTAGGACTTTTGGTCTGGATCCAGTAAGGTAAAAAAGCAATTTTGAGGAGTATATGCCGTGATAATTTGTAGTCTTTAAATGATTGATTCGGTTCTTGAAATCAATATAGCATGTGAAAATGTTAACCCTTTTGGACTCCGAGTCATTTGCCAAATTGAGTCAGGGTGTTTCAATGTCCCAGGATCAGAATTTGGGTGCACCGTTGATCCGGGTTTTGGATGCTCATCCATTTTGGGTGTCTACCAACTTGAGGTTGGCTTGGATTTACTGATTTGTAGGATATTGTCCTCGGTATCCTCAGACGCTTACTTGGAGAATTATCCTTAGGAGCGGCCATACTTCTCCCCCTCTTCTTTGGAAGTGGGAGTTGAATGGTTTTAATTGGTACCTTTATTCTTTCGGGTGCATTATAAGTAGGATAAGAGGATTTTGTTACATCCTTATTATCAGTAAATGTTTCTAGCAGATTCTTTGTAATATGATGCAAATATAAGATATTCTAAACGATTAGGTTTAGAATATTTGGTACGTGGATGTGAGGATTGCTCTTTTGATTCCTAGCATTCTTAATGTGGTATAAACCTCCCCCTAATACCTGGAATTCTTCTCAAATGTGATCAACATACGGGCAATTTATAAATCTCCTATAGAGTTACCTCTTGGAATCCCTAATGCCCATTGGTATGTTGGGTGGTGATATGGGTATGTGAAAACATACTCGATGCGCAGATGGGAAATGTTTGGCTGCGGCCAAAGTTTCACGTACATACTGCAACGGAGGAAGTTGTATAAGTGCAGCTTGACGAATTTAATTTAACGATGCGGTGTGTAAGGCCGCATGAAAACAACTTAGTTATGGTAAATTACAATTCTATTTTAATATGTCATGCAATTTGATTCTCAATAAGAGATCCAATAAAACCATTATTGGTATGGACATAAGGTACTTGATATAGAGTACCCAAAAACCAAGCTGTTCCATATAAAATGGATTTGATCCCGCATCCAGGATAATTTGCTCTAAATTGAAGATTTCGAGCAATGAGTTTAGTATAGTGATGGTTCTCATGACTAAGAGACACACCTGGGACTATATTATGGATGCATAAATGTGCATTACATAGTATCTTTATGGTCCATAAAATGGTAAATAGAGTCACATGTATGTTCTTGAATTTCTTCAAGAAATGTAGTGGCTCATATTGATGCTATGACCAATAGAATTGACAATAATTCTCAAGTTATCTCTATAGTAGAATAACTAAGGTAAATGTGCCAAGTCTTGTTGACATCAAGAGAGAGAATTATTTGTACGCAACATTGGATACATGTTATGTATATGTAGTCAAATCCAACTGAGGATGTTTTGTTTAAGTATTGCCATATCCGTTGTTAAGAGAAAAATACTCCTCTTAGTTGTCATCTTGGGGTTTCCATATGAAAACCACATTGACGGATATCTCTATAATTTTAATGGGGTACATTAT